TTTACATGCTGCAACCTGTCAGATTGATGGATAGCAGAGGCCTCGCTCAGCAGAAAGTAATGATAATCCTCTTGAAGATATTGATCTTTTTCTCCACCCTATTTAAAAAGTAGATTTATAAGTAATTGTTCTTTTAGGATAAATATTGTTCCTTCACTGTCAATGTTTCAATTTTAGTCTCTAAGGGCTGGATTTGTGTCTTGGGAAGCCTTTTTTTGTGGGTTGGGCTCGTTTGTAGCTTCCCAATTTCATTCTTGACTGATTTTACCTTGGATTTTTGCTTTCTATTCAGAATTTCGGCGCAGTTTGCAAGCTGCGAACCAATGCAGAAAGATGTCAGATGGGAGGGCGTGTCAGGCATCTCTTGAACAGTAGCACAGATTGCAAAATTAATGAAAGGCCCCTTAGCATCACTCCTTAATCCCTGTACCCATTCCATCAACTTCAAAAGTGACTTGCTTAGTATCCGCAATGTACAACCCTCCGATTCTATTCAATATCATGGACCGGATAGGTGTGGAGAAACTGTTTCCCTTTCTGGAAGAGTCTAGGATCAGACAGTATCATCCTAGTAAGGGGTTGTCTGTTTAAGACAGCAGTTAGAAGGATTTTTTTTTTCAGGGTAGTTAATCTGTGGAATTCTTTACTCCAGGTGGCTGTAGAGAGTGCCTTGTTAAGTATATTCAAGGCTGAGAGATTTTTACTCTGAAAGGGAATCAAGAGTTTTGGGGAAACGGAAGGAAAGTGGAGTTGAGGATTATCAAATCAGGATCTCCTTGAATTGCACAGCAGATTAGATGGACTGAATAATCTACTACTTCTCCTACATTTTATGGTTTTATTGTGGCCGTTCTTTCAGTGAGAATACATTTCTGCATCCAAACGAAAATTTCATGTTGAGTATGAAAAAGTCTACTCTAATCTCTGTCTACCTGACACTAATGTTCCTTTCTTTTTGGTAAAATTTAGCCGATGCTGTTAAAACTGCACTTTTGTAATGTCAACCAACATTACCAAAATGGATTAACTGGTCATTTACCTAACTGCTGTTTTTATGTCCTGGTTGTCAGTAAGAACACAAATGGTTCTGTATAATTTCTTGTTTATCTAAGCATTCTTTGTTATAAAATGTTCATATGTTTCGATAAAATCAATACGGATTACTACAAATCTAAATCAAAACGTAGGATGTGAAAATATAAATGTAACGTTATTAATGAATATTGAGTATCTTAAATTGGATGAATAAATGCACAGAAATTTTTCAAAATTCAACTATCCACCATTACCATGCTAGAGGAGAGAGCTTTGAAGGACTATTTTTGTTCATTACCGACTATTCATTTATGTTAATTCCAACCACAAATAACAAATTGGAAAGACATTTGACTGCTCATGTAACTTGCTGTGCTTTGATCCATAATTCTCTTCATATTCCCATAATCTTTTTAAACCTGCATGAGGAACTGTCATCATTCATGTCCTTTCTTGTATCCCCTCAAGCTCTCTTTCTTTTCCTAGTATTTTCCTGCATCAATTTTTTAGATTTAATTGGATAGCATTTCCTAGTCTAGAAGGGAGTTGATTATATTTTCTGACCTTACCCTATCTGGCTATGTAAAAGAAGTAAGGAGGATTTGATTAATTTTAAATACCCATGTCAGTAATTTGAGAATATCTGAGAAATAGTATTTTTCTTACATCTGACTTTCAATCTGAACAATTCTGTTCACTAGGTTTCTCCGACTAAACCACCCCGACCCACACCCCTACATCTGCCGACCGAACCCCTATGCGTTTTGTAAAAATTACTTCCTTTTACCCTCCTTGGGCTAGATAGTGTCTGATCCTGGAAAACACAGCACAATTAAAACAGCCAGGAAGAACTCCATCCCACCCCTCAAGAAGTACTAGACAAGGGTAAATTAAGAAATTAAATTTATGCAGGTTTTAAAGATTATGGGAATAAATGATATGAACCGAGACTTGTAGTGGAGCAGCCTATGAGAGCATTCTGATATTTCAATTTTATGTATTGGTTACAGTTATCAACATAAAACAATTCAGGTATAAGTAAAGAAGGTGAAAAAAGGATGTGATTGAGAGAAAAGAAACTGAGAACATATTACATGCCCCTGCTGGGTGTGTATTTGGTAGGTGAGCAGGTAAAATAGGCTGGGTAATCAGCCCACCACCTTCCCCATCCATCCTGAAGCTTAGCCCATAATACAGATGCAGGTGCTGAAATTGGCAGCATGCCCACTGTACGTAAATAAACTCCATTAACCTTTATAGAGTCATCGAGATATACAGCACACAAACAGACCCCTCAGTCCAACTCGTCCACACTGACCAGACCTCCTAAATAAATCTAGTGCCATTTGCCAGCATTTGTCCCATAACCCTCTAAACCCTTTCTATTCCTATACCCATTCAGATGTCTACTAAATGTTGAAATTGTACCAGCCTCCACCAATTCCTCTAGCAGCTCATTCCATACATGCACTACCCTTTTGTGTGAAGCAGCCCTTAGATCCCTTTTAAATCTTTCTCCTCTCTCCTTAAACCTATGCCCTCTAGTTTGGTTTTGGACTCCCCTGCCACAGGGTGAAGACCTTGGTTATTTACCCTATCCATGCCCCTCATGATTTTATAAACCTCTATAAGGTCACCCCTCAGCCTTCGATGCTCCAGTCTATTTAGCCACTCCCTATAGCTCAAACCCTCCAACCCTAGCAACATCCCTGTAACTCTTTTCTGAACCCTTTCAAGTTTCACAACATCCTTCCTATAGCAGGGAGACCAGAATTGCACACAGTTTTCCAATAGTGGCCTAACCAATGTCCTGTACAGCCGCAACATGACTTCCCAACTCTGTACTGATCAATAAAGGCAAACATTTGGGGTGGCACAGTGGTTAGCACTGCTGCCTCACAGCACCAGGTTCCTGGCTTCAATTCCACCCTTGCGTAACTGTCTGTGTGAGTTTGTACATTCTCCCCGTGTCTGCGTGGGTTTCCTTCGGGTGCTCAGGTTTCCTCCCACAGTCCAAAGATGTGCAGGTTAGGTGAATTGGCCGTGCTAGATTGCCCATAGTGTTCAGGGTGTGTAGATTAGGTGGGTTTAGAAGGGGATGGGTCTGGGTGGGATGCTCTGAGTCAGCGTGGACTTGTTGGGCCGAAGGGCCTGTTTCCACACTGTAGGGATTCTATTCTATTCATACCAAACGTTGTCTTCACTATCCTGTCTACCTGCGACTCCACCTTCAAGAAGCTATGAACCTGTACTCCAAGGTCTCTTTATTTAGCAACACACCCCAGGACCTTACCATTAAGTGTCTAAGTCCTGTCCTGATTTGCCCTTCCACAATGCAGAACCTCACATTTATCCATCTGTCACTCCTTGGCCCACTGCCCCAACCAATCAAGGTTCCATTGTAGTCTGAGGTAACCTTCATGACTGTCCACCTAACCTCCAATTTTGGTGTCATCTGCAAACTTACTAACAACATCCTCCTGTGTTCATATCCAAATCATTTATATAAATGATGAAAAGCAGTGGACCCAGCACTAATCCTTGTGGTACATTGCTGTTCCCAGGCTTCCAGTCTGAAAAGCAACCCTCCACCACCACCCTCTGTTTTCTACCTTTGAGCCAATTTTGTATCCAAGTAGCTAGTTCTCCCTGTATTCCGTGTGATCTAACCTTTTTTAATTATTTATTAAAAGCTGTAATTAACATGGTGATAGGCTGATGGAAGCAGGCAGCCAATTTTTGAAGATGTTTGTGAAATAGTGAGAAGGAAGTCCAGTTGCTATCTTTAGGGTGTCTCCAATGCTCAATGGGACACTCTCCCTTCTTGCCCATACTAAAAAAGCACAGCCTCCCACCTGTTGTGATCTAATCTGTGATAGAGTAGTGAAAGCAGGAAGTAGAATTTATTCTTTTACAATTCATTCTGTTAAAAATGTACATAACATTAATTAGGCTACAGTTGGAGTACCATGTAGTTCTGGTCACCACACCATAGGAAGGACATGGTTGCACTTGAGAGGATACAGAAGAAACTTAACCAGAATGTTGTCTGGGTTGCAGCAATTCAGCTATGAAGAGAGAATAGATAGGCTGGGGTTGTTTTTCTTAGTGCAGAGAAAGTGCTAAAAGGTGATTTGATTGATGTGTGCAAAGTTCTGAGGGCCATCGACAAGGTAGATGGGGTGAAATATTTCCCCTTACTGGAGAGGGGTCAGTAACCAGGGTGCACAGTTTTAAGGTCAGGAGCCGAAGGTTTAGAGGGGATATGAGGAAATTCTTTTTTATTCAGAAGGTTGTGTATATCTGGAACTTACTACCGAAAAGGGTGATAGGAGTGGGAACCCTCAAGACATTTAAGATGTATTTAGATGAACACTTGAAATCCCACAGCACACAGGACTTTAGGCCATATGCTGGAAAATGGGATTGGAATGGATATGATGGGCCAAAGGACCTCTTCCTGTGCTGTAAAAACTCTTCAAATGAGGAGCATAAATATTTATAAAGAATTCTAATACATTTCCCATTCTGGCTAAAGCTATGTCTGCTATAACTCAATATTGTACTACTTGATACTCCATAGTTGTAATTCTCTCAATCTGTTGAATTTTTTTTTCAGTTTATGAACATACCATCAATCTTGACTGTATTTTTGTCAGTGTTTAACATGCATCCTTCTGAATTTTCTGTGTTACTTCAATATTTTCTCTTGGTTTTTCTAATTCCTCCACTTCGTTTTTTTTCTTTTATTTTCTCTCCTGCTTAGATTTTTTTTTTTCTTTCTGCTCCCTGCCATAATAAACTGTAACAACGAGTTATTCTTCCAGTGAGGAAGTTGGGCCTTCCTGTTCGGATGCATTTCAAAGATTGTTAATGGCTCACAAATTGTTCTGTTCAAAAGTGTATGAATAAATAAATGCCTGAAAAGATACTACATGAATAATATTTGTTTTTTTTTTTCATAGGTTGCCTGAACTGGACTCTGCTCTTAGTTTCCTGTCCGAAATCTTGCAAGATTTGACTAATGAGAAAGTAAGCATTGAAGAAGACATCCATGCTACATTTGATGAGCTCCAAAAGACTTTAAATGTACGAAAGAGTGTACTGCTTATGGAACTAGAAGTCACATATGGTGTTAAACAAAAAGTAAGAGAACCTTAATATTTGCTATATTATTGCTGAGCAACTCATTAAAGAATGTATAATTGAAATAAATTGATTACTTTTTGTTGCTTGATTAGATTATATGAAGTAAGGTGAATAATGTCAAAGTTGCCTTGTGGTCTATGTTGAATTAGCACAACTTTAAAGATTTGACACAACTATAACTATCGCACAATAAAAGCAACATGCTTTCAGTAACACTACACTAGTTGTTAGGCAGAAAATGTAGCAAACACAAAGGATAAAAGACATACCCTAATTAAAACACGAGTTAAATGTATAAAGAATGTGTTTGGCTTTCAAATTGTAAATCTTTTGATTTTGATTTGCAATCGTTAGCTAATTCTGTCAATCTCTCCCAGTTTTCTTCCCCCTCTCCGTCTTCCTAAATTGCATCATCCTTGCTGGAGTGTGGTTTCTAAAGCGTCAAACCAGATTGCTGCTCATGAGCCTATACAGTGAATAACAGGTTTTCTTCCGGCAGGGAGTGTCACAACTGAGTTTAAACTTGTTCCTGACCAAGATCTGCATCTCCAGCAAAGACTGAATAGCTTCCCAAAATGAGGACTGACACACTGCTACCAAACTCGCTGAGATGAGCAAACATTGTACAGATTGGGAATTAAATCTGACTCCATTTTCTTGCTGGAGGTTCAGGTTTTGTTTTTAGCTTCAGTGTTCACTGAAAGCAGGAGTTGACCTGTTTTGGAACAATGTAGCTTTTCTGTTGCAGGCTAAACAAAAATCAAATTCCATTTCATTTGATTAGTGTCCACACAAAATGGAAATGCATTAGGATAGAAAAATGTATTCAAGGTGAGGTTCCCCACCTTAATGAAAGACACTGAGGGCTTAAAAAGAAATTGAATGTCGATTTAAATGATTTGTGAAGCACTGTTTTACTGCTATGCCAATATTTTAGCTCTCTTGCCTTATCCAAGGTCAAATGGTCTAGCCTGTTATGTTGAATTGCATATATCTTTAACAGGACACAGTTTTATATAACTGAATGAAATCGAAAGACACTGTAAAGATTACTTTGCTTTGTTTTGAACTGATAACAATGGAGTTAGGCAGTGAACTATGAGCTATGCCAAACAAAGCTGCTTTCTTGTATGACTAAATTTACTTTGTGCCATTAATTCTGCACTTGAGGAAAGCATGTGATGTTGTAATAACTCAAGAGCTGGTGCTGTAAGCTATTTTATGATCTTTTAAAAAGGAAAAAAGTTGACCTATTGACCTTTACCATCACTCCAATGATTTAAACCCTACTGATCAATAATTTAATCACTCAATCTGAATCATCAATGCTTTCTTACAAGTAGATTCAGTGCAAATTAGAGTAAATCAATTTCAGCCCAGGCTTGGTCTGTTTACTTGGCCTTGATGGGCCAATCCCACTGAACGTTCAGTTGCCATGGGCCTTTCTGGGCCATTGAGACCTAATGAAAGAAGCAGTTTTTTTGCTTTAATTCAGGGCTGGCAATCAAATTGGCAGGCCCTGCACTTCCCACTTCAGACCCTCCCATCACAGGCTGACTGACCTACTGGGGAATTCTGAGTCTCCTCCTCTCCCACAGCCCTTGGCTGAGGAATTGAGAACTCTCGTTTCTGAAGCTCCAGTTCTAAGGACCCTCGGCCTTCATCTTGTTTACCACCTTTTCTCCTGGGTGCTGCCATCTCCCTGACCCACTTACTACTGCATCCTGATCCACATCACTGTTCCTCCAATGACCGTTTCCCGTGCTCCTCCAGTCATATTCCTTAGCTATTGAGCTTGCTTTACTTCAATCACTGCCGCACTCTTTCCCTATTCTCTCTCCAGTTAAGCATGTTTGATCCTCATCCCATATCTTACCTAAGCTTACCAGTGTATCATACATTTCAGACTGCTACATGGCCATACACCTGCAGAGTGGGGAAACATTGCTGTGTTATGAAGAAAATCTTCATAGAATTCATTGATAATGATTAAGCTCTGACTCCTGTTAGAATTATTTTTCTTGGATAGATCTAGTAAGCTGTATCTTTCAACTGGTGACTCCCCTAGAAGATGGGAACCTTTAAATCAAGAGTATGAAATAACAACATAGTCATATTCCATACTAGTAATGACTAAGGCATCACAATCAAATAGGCGAAAACTGGTTTGAGGCAGAAGTCAAGGCTATACTTTCAAATAGAATGAAGAATCTCAAATTATTCATAACCTTGCCTTAGTGGAAGATGGCGTGCTGCTCATGGAATATGTAAGTGTGCTATGTCCCCAATCCTTTTAGTTGTTTGCAAACCCTGATTTATGTATTATCTCTTGAGTTGTGTTGCCTTGTCTGATCTAATTTAACAATGAACCCTTGATGTTCAATCGTATTACCATCATCTCTTCCTCCTATCAGCATCGTGGGGTTTAGCACTGACCAGAAAATGAACTGGACGTGCCATACAAACACGGTAGCTACAAGAGCAGGTCCGAGGCTAGGACTACTGGGATGAATACCTCTCCTGATGGAATACTCCCCACTTGTCCAAATGGGTGCAGCTCCAACAACACTCAAGAAGCTTGACACCATCCAGGGAAAAGCAGCCCACTTGATTGGCACCAATCCACAAACATCCTTTCCTTCCACCACTGATGCGCAGTAACTGCAATGTGTACTATGTACAAGATGCACTGCAGAAACTCCCCAAAGATTCTTAGAGAACACACTCCAAACCCATGACCGTGTCCATCTAGAAAGACAAGGGTAGCAGATACATGGGAATACCACCAACTGCAAGTTCCCATCACAGCCAATCACATTCTGACTTGGAAATATATTGCTGTTGTTTTCACTGTCACTGGGTCAAAATCCTGGAATTCCCTCCCTAAGGGCATTGTGGACAGCAGGTGGACTGCAGCAGTTCAAGAAGGCAACTGCCCATCACTTTCTCAAGGGCAACTAGGGATGGGCAATGAAATGCTGGCCCAAAAAAGTGTTCTTGTTTAATGGGTTGTACTTGAGGGGTTCGTGAGCTTAGTTAGTTAGATAGTTAGCACATGATGCTGAATAATTTCCAGAGCTGCAATGACAGCTAATGAAGTGTTGCCTTATCCCCTGTTTGTGGGATGACCATGTCTCTCTCTTTCATGGCTAATCCATTCACTGCTTATATAACCTTCTAAAGAAAAGATACAGATCACTATTTGAATTTTTTGTTACAGGTTCTCCAAGCACAATTGGATGCACTACTGCAGGGTCAGGAGAGCATTAGGAGCAGTTGCAACTTCACTGAACAAGCTCTAAACCATGGGACCGAAACAGAAGTGCTTTTAGTGAAGAAGCAGATGGGTGATAGGTTGAATGAACTAGCTGTTCAAGAGTTTCCTTTACAGCCCCAAGAAAATGATCAGCTAGAGTTTGTGGTGGAGACTGAAGGACTGAAGAAATCCATTCATAATTTAGGTACCATAATCACCACAAATGCAGTGGCCTATGAGACTGTTGCAACAGGTGAGGGATTGAGACAATGTGTGATTGGCCATCCTACGTCTGTTACTATAACAACAAAGGATAAAGATGGAGAACTTGTGAAAACTGGAAATGCGTGCCTAAGTGCTGAAATTGCATCTCCTGATGGTAGTGTCGTCGATGGAGAGATACTTGACAATAAAAATGGCACCTATGACTTCCTTTATACCATTCAGAAAGAGCAAAAGGAGGGTGACTTTACACTCACACTCCGACTGTACGATCAGCATATTAAAGGAAGTCCATTTAAATTGAGGGTTGTCAAACCCACTGATCTGTCTCCTACATCTGATGGAGTCAAACGTCGTGTGAAGTCACCTGGTAGTGGACACGTAAAACAGAAGGCTGTAAAACGGCCAGCTAGCATGTATAGCACTGGAAAAAGAAAAGAGAATCCGATTGAAGATGACTTGATCTTTAGAGTTGGTATGTAGATTTCTTTTTTATAAATCACTTATTTTCTATCCAGTCAGTCCAGATGCTGAACACACCACCCTGACGTGTGGTTGAATGTAAGCCTTGGGTCTCAACTGCATGAAACCAGTGACCTGCAGAGACCAACAGGTGACCTGATTTAGTTTGTTGCCTGGGACCTAAGAAATGATGACCAAACTGCCCTAGAGATGATTCTTAGCTCCATGGAATTTGACACCTTTTGAAAACCATTTTTTTCTGAAGACCAGGAACACCTAGTGGCGCATGCATGATGCTTAGTCTGTCCTGTCGATTTTTAATAATTTTATTTCAGGTGTCTACAGCAGATGTTTAAATTTAGTTTGCATTTCTGAGGTGCTTTTTTTCCCCTGGTTCTATTCAGCTATCAATGTGACTGCTAATATGCTTTCAGGAGAGTTCAGCTACAAACAATTGTAATATTGAAATTGGCCTTCCCAACTTCATAACATAGAACATAGAACAGTACAGCACGGTATATGCCCTTCGGCCCACAATGTTGTGCCAACCTATTATCCTGCTCTAAGATCATACTACCCTGCATACCCTACATTTTACTATCCTCCATGTGCCTACCCAAAAGTCGTTTAAATGTCCCTAATGTATCTGACTCCACTACCACTGCTGGCAGCGCATTTCACGCACCCACCACTCTGTGTAAAGAACCTACCTCTGACATCTCCCCTATACCTTCCTCCAAACACATTAAATTTATGCCCCCTCGTAATAGTCATTTTCACCCTGGGGAAAAAGTCTCTGGCTATCCACTCTATTTATGCCTCTCATCATCTTGTACACCTCTATCAAGTCACCTCTCCTCTCCTCCTTCTTTGTTCCAATGAGAAAAGCCCTAGTTCTCTCAACCTTTCCTCATTAGACCTGCCCCCCAATCCAGGCAGCATCCTGGTAAATCTCCTCTACACCTTTTCTAAAGCTTCCACA